TGAGTGAAATTGTTCCTATTTGATTAATGTTTGGCTTGAATTGATGATTCAATCACAAAAGTGAGCTCAACGATTTTCCCTTGGAAAATCCCTTGTTTACAGAACTCGATTCGACTTCTACGACAATGCTGTGTTGAATGCAGTACTTTGGGACATCTTGCATTATTCCCTACTGCATCGTACACAACATCAATATTCACTTGTATAGGATCTTTTCCTGTTTGTGTGGATACAGATTGTCCGACAGACTTGCGTCCGGCAGACTTGCGTCAAATCCTGACATCACGATCAAATTCCGATCGCACGTGTCGAAAACCTCGAACTTGAATAGTTTCTTTTGGAACGTAAAAACTCATATTTCGTTATATCCCAACAGTCATGTCAGATCTTGTGGCCAAGTTTAATCCCACTTTGCTCCATCCAACTCCACCTTGTCAATGAATGTTAAGATCTGTTTCCATGGATTATTCCACTGTTGTCGCAACTTGGAAGTTGGGAGCCACTCAGATTTTGACTGTTGATACGGCCGGACGACTTTGTCCCCACCAACTGCTAAACCTTTTAGCCAGAGCCCAAGAGCGAGAGGTTTGGCGGCTTTTGGAATTGGAAGATTTCTGGCACAAACCACCACTTATTGATGTACTGGAACATTTTGGTATCACTTGACAATGAACAATTGGTGGTTGTTGCTCCTTGGATTGGAGGAATAGGAGGGGCTTGTGGTTGACCTTGGGTCATTGCAAGATATGTTGTCTTGAAATCCGTAAGCATCTTTTTTAGTTCGTTTTTTGTTTGCGTTTTGTGATTGTCAAGGATGCTGATCATGCAAGATCCACTAACGTTTCCATTGTTTACATTTTCCTGCTCGATGGATCCTCGAACTGCATTAGTAACCTGTTCCCTGAATTCTTTTTCTGCAGCCTTCCGATCTTTTTTGTTCTTCCCTGTTGCTTTGATGAGGTCCAACATATCTTTTCTCAGGTCCTTAAGCTGACAAGCGACTTCAATATGCGGAGGAATACCGGTAACAGTGGTCATGACACCTGGAGTTGGATCTGTGGTAACCAGGGATATTCCGCATTTTGGTGTGAATCTGAACCGGAATCGGGGCCTGACCGGCTTGCTCACTCCTTCTGCACGGGGATCTGTGATCCGACATCATCACTGCTCGTGGAATTCATTCTTGGTC